TTTCGGTTGTATCCTGGTTATTAATAAAATCCAGGATTGTGTGCTGATTAGCTACAGTTCTGGGCGGGTCATGAATGGGTCCAATTTGGAGGAGGACGCCGGCAGCGGGAAGAACGACACCGTAAGTGGTAAACGATGCGAAGTGTTGGAGTATCTAAAGTGATTTGCAGGCTGGTGGCAGAGAATCCGCGGTGACGATTCTCACCGAGCAGGAGAGGATGATACTCTTCGGAATCTTCACAGTTCTGATGACCATCGCCGTGGTGGGAAACGTCGCCGCGATCAACGCGACTATCAGAAGGTGACTTACAAATCTAATAGATTAAACGAATTTGTCTTTAAAAATTAACATTACCAGGAAGCACAGATTTCTGCAAAAGACTTGCATCATCTCCTTAGCAGTTGGTGATTTGTTGATAGCCCTAGCTTACGGTGTTAACAATTTGGAGAAGTTTTCGCACGCCTTCATCAATTGGGTAAGTAATTATTTATGGTTTTTGTTGAAGTTTCAATAATTCTCATTAGACTTTAGGTAGCTTCATGTGCCACTTCATTCCCATGGTTCAGGTGTTCGGGATAACGGCTAGCACCGTAGCAATCGTCGCGATCGCTCTGGACAGGTACAGAAACGTCGTCTACGCTTTGGACAACCAGTGGAATCCTAAACCCATGACTTGCATCGCAGGAGCAACAATCCTTTGGACCATTTGCATAGGTAAATTTGCAATTCAACAACGATAATGACAGCTACTGATACGTCAATGTCACTGTCAAGTGTATTATCGCAATGGTGGACAAACAAATGGTGATCAGTATTGATTTTTGTTTGACAAGTTCAAGGTTATGAAATTGAATTGTCATCGTAACGTAATTAAAGATATCAATTAAATTCGCAATGTTAATGACAGGTCTTATGATAAATATCAATGGGAGTTAATATTAAAATGGTGGATTAAGGGAACATATGATTATTTTTTTAAGTTTTAAGGTTGTGTCATATGTCATAAATTCTGTTTTTTCAGCTATATCGTATCCACTTGCTAGGATGTACGAATTGAAGTCTTCGCACATTGAGTTGATGTTGCCAGGACAACCGAAGCAGCAGATGTTCTTCTGCATTACCATGAAGAAGAATCAACTGTTGATTTATCAAATTTGCATGTGTGCCCTTGTGTTTTCGACGTTACTGATCCTTTTCGTGTGGTTATACTATAACGTGGCGAAGATAGTTTGGCGTCACAGGAAGCCGGTGTCTCAGTACAGTTCCTCCACTTTAGAGATGTCCAGTTCCTCGACTTCCGAATTGACCACAGTGACCATGAAACGAAAGAACGTTAACGTCGAGAGGAAGATCCGAACGTTCAAGATCATCATCACTTTAGTGATAGTCTTCATCCTCTGCAGAGCTCCCTATTGGATCGTAAGCATCTGCAAGCTGATGGACTTCTTCCTCGAGAGGGACAATTGGGTGATGCTGTACTCGTTCAACGGTTTAGCTCTGTTAAACTGCGCCCTCAATCCGTTCCTGTACACTTTCCTGCAGTTCACTTTGCAGAGCATCTCCAGAGTGCAGAATGCCATCACGGATTTCGTGAGCAGGATATGCTGCTGCTGCATCTCGAACACCGAGTTCGAGGAGTTCGAGACGGGCAACGCGTTCGTCATCTGGAAGAGGATAAAGAAGTACTCAGAGACGAGATCCTCGAATCTGAACAGGAAGGACACTTATTAGGGCTCGTATGTTTTATTCAAGTCAATTTTGTAACGATCCAGCCATTTGGAGGCCTCCTTCGTGGACGCCTCGATCACCTCGTGCAGCTTCGAACCGGAAGCGGAAGTCGTCTCGTAGCGGAGCACCTCCTTTCCCAAACGCAAGCTCTCAAGGCCCTCCTTGATCAGCACCATCAAATCTTGCTTGATGCCCACGTCCCATTTGCGTTTAATGTAAACGAAATTCGCAAGATGGAGCTCATGGTACAACACACCGGAATACAAGCTTAACCTATAAATAACAAAAGAAAACTTACTGTTGTATCATCTTAATCATTCTATTTTATCATTTGTTAATTAAACATAATTTACTTCTATCATATTAATGTAAAATATTAAAAAATCAAGATTCTTGAAGATTGAAATAATGTTGTAAAATTGTTTATATATTCACCTTGAATTTCCTGGGTCGATCTTCTTGGTGATCTCCAACAGCTCCCTGCAAATCTGC